ACACACACACACACCCACACACACACACACACACGCTCGGTGTGAACTTAAGCCAACTGGTCTGGGACGCGAACCACAGTCAACTACATGGGAGTCCAGCAACATAGCCATTATACCATCTGCCGGTCCCTAAAAATAATTGAGAGAAAGAAGCTACAGAAGCCCAGATACCAGGAAGGTGAGATCTTCAACACAGAGAAGGAGAAATACAAGGTTACAGAGTAGCACAAGATTGATCAGAAAGCTGTAGACTCAAAAATTTTACCAAAAATCAAAGCTGTGCCTCAGGTCCTGGGCTACTGTGGAAGGCTGCATATTGGATATTGCACGTGAACAAATGTTCATCTATTTTGTACCCTTCCCCTAACATGACTGTCTGCTTCTGTAAACCTGCTTGCTTGCTCTTCCCATGAGAAAATAGCTAGTGCTAAAACCGCATCTGGGATGAAATCCTGTACCTGCTACTGTCTTTGCTAACTAGCCAGAAACCCTTTGTTCAGCAACAGTACTGCTTGCCTGGAAACCCCACTCCCCCCAGAAGTAATTAACCTGCTTGATTCAGCTTCTGTAACTGCTTGCATAGAAACTCCTGGTAACTGACCCCCCCTAAAAAAAGACTACTCGAACTTAAGTCAGGGCTGCAGTTCTGACTCTCGGTGTCTACCCCCTCCCCAGCCCCCCCGCCTCAGACTGTAGTCGCTGGCTAGCTAATAAAGACTTCCTTTAAACTTAATCTGGCTTTGGTGGTCATTCAGTTCATTCGGTGGCACTGTACACTACCTACAATCCATGTTTGCTCTTATAAATGGAATCTATCATCACAAATTCGTGTTCCATCTTTTTTTGCCAAGAAACTAAGTAACATAAAAAAGAGGGTTAAAAAAAAAAATTCCAGGCACAGTTGGATGTGTGCCCAAAATGCTGGTGGGAGAATGGAGAAGGGATTGCAGTGTAGCTGTCCCCCTGGGGAATGATTTCTCACTTTATCTTTTTCTCTTTCTGGTACATACCGTATGGCAAAAATCCAAAATTAACAGGGTGGCTCAAAAAAAGACAGCACTGAAAGCACCCAATTGGGTAAGGTCACACTGTAATCCCTTTTCCATTTCTCCATATTGTCGGGGTTTGGGGGCATGCACTCAGCATGTTTTTCACACTGCTAGGGCTGGAATTAAACTGTGCAATCAGCTATGTGCAACCCAGCTCCTTTAACCACAGGTTACGGGGCCAGACCTAATTTTAATGGTACACCTGTGAGGCTCAAGGTTCCCAAGTCACTATAGTAGATGAGTTAGTAAATTACACCATGCTGCTGACAAGTAATTCCCATTTTGCAACATTTAAAATTGAATAGTGGTGCAGTGGAGTGTGCTAGACTATGGAGCTGGAAGATGCATGCTGATTGCAGTTCTAGTCCCTGACCTGGTCAGCCTAAAAAAACACTGGGTACATGTAGCATGCCTAGGATCCTAAAGAGCGTGGACTGGGGGAATGGACTGCAGCATAAGTGAGCCTTATAAAGGATGATTCTATGTGCATGCACTTTCTCTATCACGATAATAACAAATTAAAATAGAATAATGATGGCAGTGTTTAGATAACGTTCTGGGCAGTAAGGTCACTGTATAAAACCTCACTGGTCAAAGTGACCCTTGCCTTCTGGTATTAACAAGTTTGTCTAGTCATCTCCCATCATGAAATAGATGTTTCTGTTACTCATAACAATGTGGCAGCAGTGACGGTGATTTCTGAGGTTGGATCATGTAAGCTGTGGCTGCATCTGACCTGTGCACTTGGCTCATTTGCACTGGAGGAACCCAATCATGTCATGAATCCACTCATGCATGAACCACCAGGCTGCAGAGCTAGCCCTTATTTTGACTTACTCAATAGCAGTTGCAGAAAAGATCGCCTTCAGATAAACGTTCACATTTTCAGTATTAAGATTTCTCACAGTTGTCCTACAATACCACTTGAACCACTCTTCACTACCTAAACACACTTTTTTCTGAAAACAAAAAATAGCCCTGAGCTTTTTGCTGAAATGAGAAAACTAAGAGGAAAAAAAAGAAAACTATGCTCATTTTTAAGTAAATTTCCTAAATACATTTTTTTTCTTGTAAAGGCTTTTGCATTATGGTGCATGTGCTTGCCAGAAAGACAGAGACAGGGAGAGGGAAAGTGAAAAATCACCCCAGGGGGGATGGTCATGCCACAGTCCCCTCTTCTCGGAATCTTGGGCACACAAGCACACGCACCCAGTGTGATTTTCAAGCCACCAGGTCTGAGACTGAACCATCATTGGCCATACTGGAGTCTGCTGATGTAATCACTACCCCATCTGCTGGTCCCAAAATAATATTTTTTAATATTAAAAAAATAGGGGCCAGCAGGTGCGTGGTGGTTAAGGACACTGGACTCCCACATGGCTGACTGCGGTTCAAGTCCCTGACCTAGATGCTTGCTTTGTCACTTTCTTTCTCTTACTCTGTAGCCTTCTGGTCAAATTAAAATAAAGTTAAATAAAATAATTTTTAAAAAAGATAAAAAAAAAAAAAAAACAACTGATGAGCCAGCAGGTGGTATAGTGGTTAAGGCACTGAACTCCCACATGTTCAAACACAGTTTAAGTCCCAGACCTGGTTGGCATGTGTACACTGCATGCCCAAAATCATGAGGAGAATGGAGAAAGGATTGCAGAGAAGGGATTGTGATGTGGCCATCCTCCTTGGGAGGTGATTTGTTGCTTTCTGTCTCTCTCTTAGGCGAATGTGCTTGCCCAGTAGCAAAAATTTCTCAAGGAAATGATGAATCATGTATTTTTCACGAGTCACAGAAGAACTCATTGCTAGCATCAAACTTAAACCCTTATGTCACATTTGTGTTGGACAACATTTACACTAGGCCACAGGACAGAATTTAGAAGAGAATCAAATCAACATGGAGTAGGAGAAAAATGGAAAGATTAGCCCAGAGGCAACTGGGCAAAATAGAAATATACTTGGTAACAGTTCTACTGTTTATTACTTATGAGCTATCCTTACTCTTTGGGATGTCCTTTTTATTTTTATTTTTTGGAGTTTTTGCTATAGGGTGTGTGCACTCGCCAGAAAGACATAGACAGAGACAGAAAGCGAGAAATCACCCCCCCCCC